AAAACCCCAAAACCCCAAAACCCCATAGAGATTATTTCTAAGAATGCAAAGAAATTATACTTTTGAAATTAAAATATTGAAATGAATTCGTTTTCGATGGCTGATTAATTCAACTAACTTGTAAAAAGTAATTTTCATAAGTGTAACACTACTCAGTTGTGCTGGTTGGAGAAGCTAATGTAGGAAAGACTGCTTTAGTTCATAGATTTGTTAGAAATTAGGCTCCTCCCAAGGATATATCTTCTACGATTGGAGTGGAATTTTCAAAAAGACTTGTTGACTTACCGAATCTTAAAATGAGAGTATAAGTTCATATATGGGATACAGCTGGCCAAGAGAGATTCAAATCACTGACCACACAGTGTGTATAATTCATTAATACAATTAAAATTGTTTAGTCATTACAGAGGTGCTCAGGGAGCGTTGCTAGTATTTGATGTAATGAGTCCCTAGTCCTTTGATGCTGTTTAGTAATGGTTACGTGAGCTAACAGATAATACACAACCCAACTGTTAAATCGCTCTTATTTCAAATAAATGCGATCTACTTGAAAATCAAAAGCCTGTAATAAAACAAGAAGAAGTAAAAAAGTTTGCAGAACAAAATGGGCTAATTTATTTTGAGACTTCTAGTTATTGGGATAGACAATAAATTTAAGTGCAAGGGGAACGAGGAGGAATTGGATATTTAGTTTAGTCAATGGTTGAAAGTAATGAGGAATTAAATATTTGGATATTTACTTTAATCTATAGATGTTGTAAGAGAGTTCATGAACGAGGATGAGTATGACTAAAGTGACAAAACTGATTCATCAGCTAAATAATCATAGAGATATTAGAAGCAAGATTAAAAGTAGTATAGAGGAGGTGACGAAAACGCTAAAGTTTTGATTAAAGACAAAAAGATGATGGGTGGTCGTGACAAGACAGAGATAAGAGTATCTGGAATAAGGCTAGACAAAGAATCGATGTTTGAAGTGGATAATAAATAAGAGAGTAGTTGCAATTGTTGAAATTTTCAAATTCTATAGAAGTGATAATCCTTGAAACAATAGTTTTGGGCAGTATTTATCTTAGTGAATATTCGATTGATTAAGTAAACTATAAAAAGCAATTAATATTTTATTAATTTAATGTCAGATTTTCTCGAATCTTTGCTAGACTCTCATTAGCATAAGTTAAAAAAGAACTAGAACTAAAATAGCAATTAATAAAATGGTAGATACACCGATGCAGGAACACTTGCAAAGGTCAGTTAATAAAAAAATCTTGATAGCTTGAAGTTAAAACTTCTTGGGAAGAATAAGCCTTCTGGTTCTACTACAAAAAGCAGTTCAAGCTCTAAAAATGATAAAAATCAGTCTATAAAATAATCAGACATCAATGAAAAAGAAAAACTGAGGTAGAAAATTGAAGAAAAAAAAAGGTAATTAAATGAATTGAAGAGTAAATTATTAAGCAATAAAGATCATAGAGAACTTAGACAGGGAAATTTCTAGAATAATAATAGTAGCAACAAATAGAGTCATAGCTAATTAAGAAACGAAAATAAATCAAAGGAATCAGAAGAGGATAAGATGAGAAAATATAGAGAGTAGCTAGAGTTAAATGCAAGTTTTGCATTGATTTTGAAAAGCGAATAACCAAAAACGATCGTTCCAAAATATGAGGAATATGATCCTCTAGGAATTGATACTATTTCTTAGTAAGCTTTATATTTACTGAGATCATTTTATAGTCCCAAAGAGTAGCCAAGTGATTTAATCTCTCAAATTGATTAAAAAATAAGAAAGGAACTTAATATTATATCTGATCCTAATGATATGAGAAAGAGACTAGAAAGAGAACATAGATTATAAGAAGAATTATAAAGGTAGAGGAATTAAGAAAAAAAGAGGCAGGAAAAATTGAAGTAAAAATAAAAAAATGGCATCAAGCCTAATAATGGTACAATATTAAATACAAATAAATAGATTGAAGCTTAGAAATTGAAGTCTAAGCTTTAAAACAAAGAGAAAAAATAGAAAATTGAAAATACTCCTGATTAGCAAAAGCAACATTAATTGAAAGAAAAATTAGAAGAATCTTAAATTTATTGTGCAAGATGTAGGAAATTTCATGGAATTAGTTTTCACAAAAATCAAACTAATGGCAAACCATCTGATATTAAGATGTCTCTTGATGAGGAAACTAAAGGCTTGAGGCCAAGTGTAAATATCATAAATAGTATTAAAGACAAAAAATCAGCAAATTATGATGAAAGGAAAGTCTAGTTTAAATAAAATTCTAGAGATATGCAAAGAGAAGAGAGAAGAGTGTACGAGCCTTCTGACAAGCATAGATAGCTTGAAAGGCCTTAAAAGTAAACTATGAGGTATGATGATTATGGAGAAGAGTCAGAAGGCAATCTAAGTTTTATTGTTGATGATGATGAAGAATTAGATCCACATACTCAAAAAGAGTTAGATCAATTAATTGGCAAGCGAAGAAAAAGATATGTTTACAGAGAATATGATAGTGAAAGCGATGATATGGCAATGGAAGCTGGATACGATGATATTGAGTTTGAGGAAAAGATTTCGTCGAGAATAGCTCGACTGGAAGATGAAGAGTAACTTAGGTTAATAAATGAGGAGAAAAAAAGGGAAAAAATGCTTAGAAAAAAGAGGAGAAGAATAGAATGATCACTCTTATTTAAGCAATCAATAAGATGTAAAACTGCTTACTAGCTAAAAGAATTAATTTCCAATAATATTATCATCTATCAAAATATCTTTAACTTCTTGGGGTTTTGGGGTTTTGGGGTTTTGGGGTTTTGGGG